GTAGCAGGACAAGTATGAAAGATAATTAGCCAAACCACTATATATCCATCTAGGTTTTTAATTTTTAATTATCTTCTAGCTTAACTGAGTCTATATAAAAGGTAAGATAAAGCCGGATAGTCTACTTGGCCTAGTGTTGACGAAACCTTTTACAGGAATGAGACCCAGCTCTGATGATGTCCATCATATGATGGATGAAAGCTCAGCATGTTTTCATCTGAAACGAGGGAGGAAGTCCCGTGGACTGTGTCAACATGAATATCGTATAAAATCCAAGCGGCTGCAATACAACGAGATTCATCCGTCCTCATCTGGTGAGATCGACCAACAAATCTCTTATTCATGCACTTTCATACGAAATGAAGGTCCCTCTAACAATGCCTTTTAATAGACAAGCTCAATGACAGGACTTATTTTTAATTCGAATGTTCCGGGACAGAGAAAAATGGTGGGGGAAAAGCAAATACCACTTCCATCAAATTTAGTCACCGCACCCACCGTTACCAGTAAGATAGATCATTATCACTTGCTTTATTGCGTTAACGCGCAAACAAGCAAAGTTAAGTGAATGATGAGGAATTACAGAGATACACCCATAAATAGCAAATATTAGCAGAAAAAAGTAACACGCATAACTTTAAAAATGGAATAAATAATAAAAAATATCATGTATTTACGGACGCATTAAAATTTCTCATATGTTCAAGAAAAAAGTAGATAAATTAAGCAAACGGACGCCCTAGTTCGAAAGCTTATCATCCTATATCAAAGGTAGAATAGCCCTCACCTCGTGTTAAGGAAATAGGAAATTCGGAGTTCACTGACAAGAACCCCATGAGAACAAGAACCTAAAAAGGGCAAAATATTAGTCAGCGTTTTAAATTATTGAAAAAATATATTGATCCATAGTTTAACAGGCATACTAAAAGAACAAAATAATATCTTTAATTGTAAGGTTTAATCCATAACATTCAAAAAGCTTTCAATATTCACGAAATATAGGGAGGCCAAAGGGTAAATATAATGCTCAAGTATGCTATGTTAAAGCTAATGAGAAATTTCTGGAGATTTCACAATTAGAGCACCAATATCCAGTAAAGAGAGAATAGAGCAGCCTTAAAAACTAGCAGGTTCTATTGGAAAGTTATTGGATATGAGAGGCCTAAATAGAGGTAGTCGATGGAAGCTCAGCAAATATGGCTGAAATAAATAGCTCATTCAATAAGTGCAAAACTTCTCAGTTTATTACCAATTTGTCATGATTGCCAAATAATTTAACTCGGTCTTACCATCTAAAATATATTATTAACAAGAGCACAACATGGTTTCGGCCTCACTCGATAAGGAATCAAAATTCAAAACGTGGAGGCCCGGAAACAAAGTCACAAAGTACGCTCATAGAGCCATAGGGTCGCAGAATACGCACGACTTGAAATGTCAAGCAGACGGGGTTATATCACGAAGAAAAATTTATCACGACTTGGTTATATTTAATTATTTTAATGATGTAGAAAAGATCGAGAATGTGTAGGGTAGAGAGGGATTTGAGGCACTCAAAGTCGTTCTGCTTACGAGTAAAGGAAGAATCTCGATAGGATAAATCTTGCCTATGTAATACATATATATAACTATCTTCATCACAAAATGTTGAAGCATACCAAAAGGCTGAAACAAAATGAATAATAACGATTTGCATAAAAACCTTGACTTTATAGTCGTCAGCTATTGAAAAGTTGTTTGAGAAATTACCATTTATCTTAACGTACAGCAAATTGTGAGAGAAACAAATGTCTTGTGTTCAGGGAGACTATGCAGAACGCACCGAGTCCGAAGTCGTCTGCCATAGTAGTTGTCTTGATACCCAGCATCTGACAGTGGATTTGATACATTCTCAAACGTTTCGCCGGCATCGTAGTCGGCATCATCAGTGAGCCTTGCCATTCTCCGTACCGAGA